CTACTACTACTGCTACTACTACTCATCACTCCTCCTCCTCCCCTCCTTCTGCGGCTGCTGTTGCTGCGACGACTAGTACGCGTACAGCAACTACGAAGGCTAGCATTGCTGCGGCGGCTGCTGATACACCACCTGTCATGATGACGCAACGACAAATAGGAAGGAGCAGACTATGACGGTGACGATGGTAAAGATGACGATAACCTTCTAGACAGCTCCTGCGAATCGCTTACTATGTTTTTGCCTCGACTACGAGCACGACCACGATCTGTAGCAGCTCTGCAGAACTGACTGCTGCTATAATTAAAAGGTTTTGCTAGCAGATTACAGGCTTGGCAGTGCTGCTGTGGAATATGGATAGCATGGGGCTGCGAAACTCAGGGCAAAGGATACCACTCTTGCTCTTGAAGTTGGTTTTGGGGCCAGGCTGCTCCTTAAAGCCTGCCTGGAGTCTCCATTGTAGTTGAATTTGGTTAAACCAATTTTATGGCTAGGACCCTATAAAGAAAGCACTAAATGGAAATACAATGGAGACTGTAGGTATAGACCTGAAACCAAAGCCATGAAACCCAAACCCTAAATCCAAAACCCTAAATCCTAGACCCTAAACCCTAAATCTCAAACCCTAAATCCTAACCCCTAAACACTACAGCATCTCTGGGGCCCCAAGCCCCGGAAGGCTCATCATTCCGGGAGAAAAACTCCTTGTCGTGTCCAGGAGCTCTGCTACTGAGCCTTAAAAGTTTCAGTCAAGACTGGGTATCACTACTGCTATTATGAGTCTTGTTAGTTTGAGGAAGTTTATTGGCATAGTCATTGCTACTGCTTTTTTTCTACTATTCGTCTATTGTTATCATTATTATTATTATCATCATTATTATTATTAATAGTATTTAGTATCGGTAGAATATTCATACTTACTAGTGTGAAAAGTATGCTGAGTATTATTCGTATTCTTACTTTTCAATAGAAACTTCTGACGGCAACGCTGGATCAGTGAAGACATTGCCTGGGGTGATTGTGCTACCCAAGCAGTACCCAAGCAGAGAGTATCAATAGTCGACGCCGTCGTCTACGTTGCCGCGATCGTCGTCAGAGCAGCAATCTCAGGCGAAATCGTAGTGTCGTCAGAGTAACAGGCGTAACGCAGTGAGCAGTTGTTCTGGTGGCAGCAGTACCAGTAGGAAGTGCTGCACACCTTGGTAAATACCTGTATTGTATTGAATAGCGCTACTGTCGCAGAGAGTCTGGACACCAGGGTTGCAGCAGCTAAACCGTCCAAACGGAACAGCTGCGCGAGTTTGGCAGAAGAAGCCCCTCTAATTTAAGGAACCCCAAATCCCTCTCACACGTCCAGAGGCCTCCAGAAGCCCCAGTATCGCCATTATTGCGAATGACTATTCCATTGCAACTATTAGCTTTTTATACGCGCTGTGGAGGGGGTGTCGGAATACGGGCCCGTGTTTTTCGAGTAAAGCAAGCCCTTTTTTAAGCAGATTCTCAAGCAATCGGATATGGTAGTATCGCTCTTGGTAAACACAGTTGCATTCTGTGCTCGAAATATTAATACGAGGCGGCTCAGAAAGGATCGGATCGAATATGCGCTGGTTTGCTCCAACACAGTATTGCTTCATCATGTGACGAGCAAGATCCGTTTCAGCTTCGGGACGCAAGCATGATGGGTGCAGAGATCAGATCGTGGGCGGCAGATCGTATGGTCGCACATGTGCCACACAGACAAATCCTGAGCACGCTTTATGACACGCAGGCGCATCACAAAGAGGACGGGACGGTAGGGAGCCTGCATGAACAAGCCTTGAACCTAAATCCTAAGACTGAAGAACTCAAACCAAGCATGCTCTCTGTGTGGCCTCAGGCCCCTTTCGGGTGCCAACCATTGTCGCTGGCATCGAGTAGGTGCATGCCTTGGAATCAGAATCCCGATCCTTGACCCTGAACCATCCATTAGCTGTGATAGTGGTCTCCTGAAGATTGCACTCAACAGCTCACCTATCGTGCTGCTGCTACAAACGTTAGTTAGTGTCTGTGTGTGGGTGCGCGTACTTTCAGAGCGCACGATGCTACCGTAATGATGCTAGTTAGTGGCGAGCATGGTGACGACGGTGAGGACGACCAGGGCAAGGAAATGGCAATGTTTGCTTGATATTGGGGCACCAGGCGATGATGTGCTGAGGATGACGATGACGATGATCTGATTCGGGTATCTGAATCCGGCTACCGGCCACTGCGTGATGTTGCCAAAGACGACGACAACGACGCGACCACAGCGAGGGCGATGGCGACGACCACGACTGCCACAACGAGGACGACCACGCCAATGCCGAGCAGGACAAGGAAAACAACAGCGAAAACAATTTATAGAAATGCTACTGTTACCTATTTCTACTAAGATTGCTGCATGAACCACCACTACTACTACTACTACTACTACTACTACTACGCCTACGCCTACGACTACGACTACGACTACGACTACGACTACGACTACGACGACATCGGGAGGATAAAAGCTTTGTCCTACTGGACCTTTCTTGCCTTAAAACGTCTTGCGGAGTAGCGATGTACCGAAAACTGCGATTTATGTGGCCTGGATTTCATACGCCGTTTTAACTTATACTACTTTAATGTTCCGGAGGATCCGCTTGGCGGTTGGTCCTGTTTGTTAGGAGCTGAGATTCTATGGGGGAATGGGGGCCTGTTTTCGACGAACAAGGACTAGGTCAAACTTTCGTCCTACCGCAGTACCACCACCACCACCACCACCACCACGACTCCTACTTCTACTTCTACTTCTACTTCTACTTCTACTTCTACTTCTAACTTCTAACTTCTACTTCTACTTCTACTTCTACTTCTACTTCTACTTCTACTTCGACTTCGACTTCTACTACTACTACTACTACTACTACTACTACGACTACTACTACTACTACTACTACTATTGCTGCTGCCGCTGCTGTGCTGCAACTACTACATCAGTACCACAACAACAACTACTACTACTCCTGCTGCTGCTGCTGCTGCTGCTGCTGCTGCTACGACTTCTGCTACTACTACTACTACTACTACTACTACGCCGCACTATTGTTACAACTCTATCTCTTCTACTTCACTACTATCAGCACCATGTGTCCCTACGTCTGCGACTACAGTTTTAACTACGGCGACGACTGCTGCTGACAGTGCTATGTCCATGCTTATATTTCACCCTTGGCTTGACGAACATCGGGCGTCCGCACCATGTTGGTGCTATTTATGCTCTTGCGACGAAGGGAATCTGCAGAAACTGGCGCACTTGGCTACAAGAGCTGCTACTGCAGCTGCTTTCTTGGGCTACTAAGACTTCAACTGCCCAGAGTTCGTAAGCAGCAACACCCTGACTCTAAACCCTGAAAGCTGGAGCTCTACGTATCAACACCCTAGAGCCAAAAGCCTCCATGCCCTAACCCCTAAGCCCTACGCGTAAGGATCAGATGCCTCGAACTCTTAGCCGAGCTCAAGCCTACGACGTCCTGAGCTCGATGGCCGCTTGGCCATGTGCAGCATTAGTAATGATGGTCATTCAGCTTTTTGCAAGTTTTCGGGGTGTGTCGTTTAGCACACGTAGCAGGCCTTGGTAAATCGAACCCGATCGAACCCGAGGCCAACATCGCCGGCTACCGGGCCATGGTGGAGGCAGGAGGAAGCTGCAGAATGGATAGAGCCCCGCACGTTTTGCCCACGCTTGGCGACGGGTGCGAGCCCCCAGCCGAATTGCTGCTAAACAAAACAGTCAACAAAGACCTGGGGACCAAAACTTAGGCATACGCAGAAAGACGAAACCAGGAGATGCATTCTGGCTTTTCGATGCAGCTCTCAACGAGACGCCAGAGTCACGGTTAGGAGTTTTGTATGTATTACCGGTGAATGTCAATTCAGTGTGGCTACTGACTACTACTACTACTACTACTACTACTACTACTACTACTACCGCTACCGCTACCGCTAACGCTACCGCTACCGCTACCGCTACCGCTACCGCTACCGCTACCGCTACCGCTACCGCTCCGCTACCGCTACCGCTACCGCTACCGCTACCGCTACCGCTACCGCTACCGCTACCACCACCACTACTACTACTACTACTACCACCACCACCACCACCACCACCACTACCATGACGACGACGACGACGACGACTACTAATACCAATACTAATACTATTACGAATACGAACACAAATACTACTATCACCACGACTACTACTACTACTACTACTACTACTGCGACTACTGCGACTACTGCTGCTGCTAGTACTGCCTACGACTGCGACTACAGCTACAACTACGACGACGACTGCTACCACACGTACTACTACCACTACCACAGCCACCACTATTACCACGACGACTAGTACTACTATGGATGAACAAAATCTTGCACCACTTGTCAGAAAAGTCTTTTAACGGTTCCCCGCACCCCGTTTTGAACTTTGGCTGCGAAAGGCTACGGGCCGGATTTGTTCCAGTGGCCGAAATCTTGCACAGACTGCTCAAGTAGTCGTAGCTGCCAATGTCAGACAGGGGGTTCGGGGCTTGCTGCTTCAATCGTTTGAAGTATGCATGCACGGGTGGTGCAAGATTTTGTCCATCCACCGTAGTACTGGTGCTAGGACTCGTACTAGCACTGGTAAAAGCACTAGCCAGTAGCACTACTACCGCTACTACGATGACGACGACGACAACGACGACTACTACGACTATGACTGCCGCTGCGACGACTGCGACTGCGACTGCGACTGCGGTGACGACTGCTGCTGCCACTACTATCAGCACTACCACTACTAGTCAACCACCACGAACGAAGACGATACGTAACCCAACTTCGGATGATGAGGACCCAAGTCGGTCCTTGAGAAAGTGCTCGCACAGCTGGCATTGGAGCGTGCAAAATTAGGTAAGCATAGCTGGCGTAGCTCTTAGACTCGCGTATATCAGGCCAGCCATCACTATGGACGCTTCTGCGCCGGGCAGTTCACTGCTGCTGGCAAGGTAGAGCCAGCCAAGGCGACTGTGAAACTGTGTTGGTTTACGGGTGAGGTTCAGGCTTTGGGATTTTAAGGATTGTGCCGTGGATGCCGGGATTTTCTTTCCGGAGGTTCATGTTTTCGTCTGAGGAGGAAAACCGGCAAGCACGAGAGTTATGGCGTAAGCTCCGGAAATCCCATGCTCCATGCAAGTAGCTTCGCCTGAGAAGTCCAGGCCAGGAGATTTGGAGTCCACGGCTGCCAACTGTAGACATGTTGGATTCGGGCTGTCGGTGGCTGGCACCGAGATGCCATTGTTCCTGTCTTACAGATGTTTGGCTGCAGTGGCTCCTGACAAAGCTGCCACTTTGACGTCTTCGTGGTGTAGGGTTCGCGTCGGTTCTCTGGCGTAATTGATTTGTAAAGAACGGTTTTCAAACCTATTGCCGGGGCTAGGGTGCGAAATGAAGCGGCAGTTCCTTTGTTGACTTCCGTTGGCCATCAGCAACTCACAGGTCCTCGTGATTGGCGCAGGTGTGGCAGGGCTTGCTGCCATTCAGTGCCCTATCTCAAAGAAGCGACTCCGGGTGTCCTCGGCTTGCGCGATTTTCATAAGGCAAGCGAAGAACATGGGTTGCATCGTCCGCGCCTTTGACGTGCGTCCGGCCACCCGCGAGCAGGTGGTTGCTGCAGGAGGCAGGGCCACCATTGTGAGTAATTTGAAGTCTTTGGGGAGCAACACCTTTGGTACAGCTCTGTCAGGAAAGCCCAGAGTTGAGGCTTGCGGTAATTCTGTCGCAGTGAGACTGTTGTCTCGAAGGCGAGTTCTTGGAGGTCCAGATTGAGGAAGATGGCTCCGGGACAGGACTATCTTGTTTGTGAGGAAGCATTGCCTGAGGTACCTCGCCGTCTTAGACTCAAACCACAGGAGGCTATGCCAAAGAGATGTCCAAGGAGTTTATCGAGGCAGAGATGGAGCTCTTCCGTCAACAGTGTGCCGAGTGTGACATTGCCCCTGGCCAGCCCTGGGATCAGACTTTTTATGATCCTCTTGCTAGTGCTGCTAGTTGCTAGAACAGCTCACCACTGTGCAATTGAATCAATTGCTCTGCCTGGACTAACTCTCTGCAAGTCTTCTGATACTGCTGGTGGCGGTGGTGGTCGTGGTAGCAGTAGTGCTGCAGCAGCAGCAGACACAGAAGCAGAAGTAGAAGCAGAAGTGACACTAGCAGCAGCAATAGCAGTAGCAGTAGCAGAGTAGCCATGGCAGTGGCGGTAGGAGTAGCAGGAGCAGTAGCAGTAGCTTCAGGAGCAGGGGCAGGACCAGAACCAGAACCCGGACCATCCAGGACCAGGAGCAGCAGCAGCAATAGCAGGAGCACTTGCAGTAGAAGTAGCTGCAGCTTTAGCAGTAGTGGCAGTGGAAGTAGTAGTAGCAGTCGTGAGTCGTAGTAGTCGTAGCCGTAGTCGCAGCCGTAGCCGTAGTCGTAGTAGTAGTAGCAGAAGTAGTAGTAGTAGTGGTAGTAGTAGTAGTAGCAGCAGCAGCAGCAGCAGCAGTAGCAGTAGCAGTAGCAGTAGCAGTAGCAGCAGCAGCAGCAGCAGCAGTAGTAGTCGTAGTCCTAGTCCTAGTCGTAGTCGTCGTCGTCGTCGTCGTAGTAGTAGTAGTAGTAGTAATAGTAGTAGTAGTAGTAGTAGTAGTAGTAGTAGTGTTAGCAGCAGTAGTAAGTAGTAAGCAGTAATTAGTAAGCAGTAAGTAGTAAGTAGCAAGTAGCAAGCAGCAAGTAGTAAGTAGTAAGTAGTGAGGATTTAGTAGTTCGTAGTTAGTAGTTAGTAGTAAGTAGTAAGTAGTAATAAGTAGTAAGTAGTAAGTCGTAAGTCGTAAGTAGGAAGTTGTAAGTCGTAAGTCGTAAGTAGTAAGTAGTAAGTAGTAGATAGTACGTAGTAGATAGTAGATAGTAGATAGTAGATAGTAGATAGTCGATAGTAGGTAGTAGGTAGTAGTAGGTGGTGGTGGTGGTAGTAGTAGTAGTAGTAGTGGTAGTAGTAGTAGCAGCAGCAGCAGCAGCAGCAGCAGCGGTATGAGTAGTAGTCGCCGTCGTCGTCGTCGTAGCAGTAGTAGTGGTAGTAGTAGCAGGCGTAATAGTAGCAGGAGAGTATAGAGTATAGTGGTAGGGTCGTAGCAAAGTAGCTGTAGCAGTACCAGCAGCGGCTGGCTGTAGCTGTAGCAGTAGCAGCAGCAGCAGCAGCAGCAACAGCCGTAACAGTCGCAGCAGCACTGGCCGTAGCAGTAGCAGCAGCAGCAGCAGCAGCAGTAGCAGGAGCAGGAGCAGGAGCAATTGCAGTAGCAGTACTAATCGTAGTCGTAGTAGTCATAGTAATCGTAGTAGTCGTAGCAGTCGCAGTAGCAGTAGCAGCAGTACTAGGAGTAGTAGCTGCAGCAGCAGCAGCAGCAGCAGCAGCAGCAGTGGCAGCAGGAGCAACAGGAGAGGTAGTAGGAGCAGCAGCAGTAGCCGTGCATCACACCAAGAAACGACGCTGCCACAATACTGGCCCAAAGTACAGTATTGGCGGTGGATTCCGGAGGCACGGCCAAGATGCTTTCCCCCAATCAAATACTGGCGGGATTCAGACTCGCGAGCACACCGGCCAATTCTCTTTACCCGGTACCCTTCACATTGGGAACCCCATGGTGCATGGTGCGGAACAACAACAACAGTCGCAAAAACCGCAACAACAGCAACAACAGCAACAACAACAACAACGACGACCACAAACACCGAACGACAAACCACAGACAGGAACGAACGCAGAACAAAAAAGCAACAAACAACACACACAACTAACAACCCTCAACCAGCAGCCCACAACCCAACCACCTGTAACCTACGACCTGCAAACTACAGCAACAGCAACAGCAACAGCAACAGCAACAGCAACAGCAACAGCAACAGCAACAGCAACAGCAACAGCAACAGCAACAGCAACAGCAACAGCAACAGCAACAACAGCATCAACATCACACTGAGGTCATCACCACGGCACTGATCCCCGGCAGGCCGGCACCGAAGCTGCTCACAAAGGACACCCTGTGTCTTCATCTTTGTTCCGGCTTTGCTTGATATGACATGATCGATTTCTGATGGTATTGATATCACTCCTCCTATCGTGGCCCGCTAAACGCATTCGGCTTTCGTTTCAACAAATATGGAGCTCAATGCAGTCCCTAAGCCCGAAAAACCGTATGGAGCATGCTTTGGCTTGGTCCCCACCATGCTTTGCATGGCCCCAGCCCCCGAATCCAAATCGAGCTCGTCCGAACCCAAGTCCAAATGCATTTTCCAAGACCTGCTGAACAGTTTTTCTAGTTTCAATATCTCTTGAGCTCAATGCTGTCCCTACACCCGAAAATCGCACCGAAAAGGTTTTAATCTGGTTTCCAGGGCCTCAAACATGCATATTTCAAGGCTTCGAAGCTCATTTATAGATGTTTCAGCTTTGCCGATACCCCTGGCCCCACACCCCCGAGGCTTTAATTGAGCCCTCGAAGCCCCCGACCAAGCCCAAATACATTTTCCAAGGCCTGCTAAACGCATCTGGCCGTCATTTCAACAAATCTCGAGCTCAATGCCGTCCCTAAACCGTCAATGGTCCTGCAAATGCTGTAGTTTGGTTTGCAGGGCCCCAACAAGTAATTTTTCAAGGCTTAGAAAATGTGCTTAGAGTTATTTCAGCTTTGCTGGTGTTCCTGGCCACAATCCCTGAACCCGAAGCCTCCGACCAAGCCTAAACGCATTTTCCAAGGCCTGCTACACGGATTTGGCCGTCATTTCAACAAATCTCCAGCTCAATGCCGTCCATAAAACCCAATGTAGTAGTGAATGCTGTTAACTCCTACAGTTTTAGGTATTGATCCAAGCGGAGGACATCATAACAAGCCTTTTATTGTAGCATGTCTCTCCTATCTTTAGGTCCATACTATTTGGGGTTTTCGCCGGCACTAGTTTTGTACTCGCTTCGTCTTCTTGTTTGCTGACTCCTGAACTCTGGACAGCCTTTGGGTTTCTCCGATTCTTGCTGTTGTTGTGGCAGCTTCGGTTGTCCGTGATCACGCTGAGGGTGAAAATAAGACTATTAATAACAAATACCAATAATGATACTGGTCTTTGCACTGCACTGCATCCCGTGTGTTGGAAACGGAGGTCGAGATATCTCGCACGCTCCATAGCCGTATTTCGCTTGTTCACAGGAGCACATCGATGGCATGAAGCACGGAAGCGTCGTTGTCGACTTGGCGGCCGAGACCGGAGGGAACATTGAAACCACCAGGCGAGGTGCAGAACTATACGTAAAATTGAGTGCTTTGAGTGCCGGCTAAGACCCGTGCGACTGTCTGCAGGCCCGGTAAAGTTTACGAGTACAACAACGTGACGCACGTCGGGCTGTCGCTCTATGAGCACATGCCCAGTCGCATGCCTGCGCAGGCCAGGAATCGTGTGGCAATACTCGAATTTGCATTGGTTTTGTCACGGCTCTCGCATCTGCGAGGCATCGTTCCTTTTTGCCAACAACATGGCCAAGTATTTATGCAGTATGGGGCCTCCGGGCTACTTCTTCGTTGATTATGACGACGCGCCTAAGTCTGCAAAGCCTCCGGGCCAGCACCTCTCTGGGTCCGTACCTCTCAAGCGGATTCCACACCCCAAATGTGCACCTTCAACTGCCCAGCATCTGATGCAAGGTACCGACCCGGGGAGCGATGCTTTGTCGTCACTTGGATTCAGGATGAGGCCGGCGTAGACCGATACGGAATCATACTATAAGATCACGGATACCGAACAATAATACTTCTCGCGGCAAAAACTGCATACCGATGAGCACGAGAAGCAACAAATGCAATTGCTTTCTTCTTAGCGCTGGTGCGCATGTGCATGGTGTGAACAAATCTGATAATCTCTGTGTCTGAAGTTGCAGCGGAACAGATGCTGCCTTTGTCGTAGTATCGGTGAGTATTGCCGGGACAAGCAAGAAAGCTTGTTATCTTTCTTCCCATAGTTCATTGTCATTGTCATTATTCGTAGTTTTATGTGTTTTCCGGTATTGTAGCATCGTCGTAGGTCATCAACTCGCAACTGAGGCCTGCAAGCGAAGCTTCTTTCAACCAGTTTTCAAATCGCAATCAGTGTCCCTCGCCGGTCGCATGAAGAGTCCGGACTCTAACGCACTCGCAGCTGCTGCAAGATTTCATTGCCTCTTGCCGAGGTGACGGCGAATTGACCTGGCCTTGGAACCCGCCCAAGGTCGAAGCGCCACCAGCCAAGGAAGAGGAGGAGCGACTCACATCCCGCACGTAGCGGAACGTAGCGGAGTTCGAGGAGCCGCTCTGGGTTGCTTACGGCCCACCCTTTGCAGGAGCCTGCTGAGGCCACCCTTGTGGCCGAGATGAGCCCCGAGGAGGAGTGGGCATTGAAGCCTGCCGGAAGGCACATAAGCAGAAGAAGGAAGTCAGAAGTCTCCGAGAGAGAGGGTCCGGTGCAATCATCTTCGGAGCAGTTACTCAGAGCAGAGTCAGGCAACGATTAGCGGCATATTAGCAATGCAGGTATTGCCGATGGTGGGTAGTAGCCGCAGTAGCAGTACCAGCAGCAACAGCAGCAGTAGAAGTAGAAGCAGAAGGAGGATCAGGCCTAGGACGAGGACTAGGGCTAGGATGGCTCGCACTGGGACTACCAGCAGCACTCTTTGTAGCAGAATAGTCGTAGTAGTGGTGGTGGAGGTGGTTGTGTTAGTAGTAGTAGCAGCAGCCCCGGCGCTAGCACTAGCCTACACCTCGCGCATGGCCTCCTATGCGTGACGTGACAATCGGAAGCAAATTGTGTGGCATGTTTTGCAGTTGTCGTCAGCAACCAACAAAGACACGATTTTTGTCGAGACCCAATGTTGGAACACCAACTGCGAGCATGTAAGGGTGCTATCCTGACTGTACTGTACCGCATCGCTTGTAGAACCAGCCTTTAGTTGTGGCCGCTACCTCGGGCTGCGGAGAACGCTAAATGACAAATACATCTTTTTAGGAAGTTAGCACTGACACTACCACTGCTACTGCCACTACCATTGCCAGCGCCAATGGGGCGGCGGGATAATCGCGCTCGCCTTTGCCACTCACACACGTTCTCTGAAACTCATCGGCCCTGTTGGCTCCGCACTTCTCCTGCGTCACAGAACCCATACCTCACGCTACTGAACCCATTTCTCGTGTCGGCTTGGTGACTTAGACAATCACTTGTGGGTGACTCTGTCCAACTCTTTCGGCCTACTCTCTGTCCTAAAGCTTGGCGCAACACCCCACTTTTTCGTAGAAACCGTGACAGCGCCCTTCAAAGCAACGCGGCGCTTCGTGTGCGTGTCACCTAGTTAGTAGGTAGTCTCAGTAGTGGGTATTTAGTAGTCCGCAATTGGTGGCGAGTGGTGCGTAGTGAGTATTCCGCAGAGTAGGGAGTACTGCGTGGGGAGTAGTTAGCATGCAAGTAATGCTTAGTACAGGTAAATAAGAGTCAGTGGTAGGTAGCAGTTAGTATTAGTCCATTGATAATTGGTAGTAGGGCATAGTTAATAGTAAGTAGTGGGTAGTGATCATCATCATCATCATCATCGTCATCATCGTCATCATCGTTATCATCATCATCGTCCGTCATCGTCGTCAGCATGGTGGTTGTTAATATGAAGATGTTGATGGCAATGATGATGCAGCTGGCAATATAGAGACAAGATCGCAACATATGAAGCAGCTGCTTTTCGTTGCAGCCAGAGCGCTTATTGCCATAGGGAGCAGAAAGTTGCGCTTGGTGTTGTTGTCTACAAAAGTATTGAACGGCTGAACCAACCAGGCGCCAGCATTGAAATGGTCTTGTAGGGCAGGTCGATTGCTGTTTCCGAGTTGTGTCCCCACACTCGCCATCTGCGAAACCGGTATCTTGCACGGCAAACAAACTCGGAGATGCGCGACAAGGCTTCTGTTGCTTACGAATCATGTCAGTTGATTGCCGCCGGAGGAGTCCTTTCAAAGCACCGCATCCTCTGTGGCCCTTGTTTCGTTGATCGTGATGGCACTGCTGGCAGCGGGCCGCCCCCTGAGCATGACATGCCTACCTGCATCGACCAGAGCTGCAAAGCCTAGGCACTGCCGGCCAGTCGGTGACGACGATGCTCACCACGCTGGGACTGGCTCTCATTGGTGGTGCACAGGTCGTTTATGGCGCCGGGGCCCTGAAGCGAGCCAGGGCCGGGAAGAAGAGAAAAAGCACAGCAAAGAGGACAGCACAGCTCTCTGTTCCAAGGTTGTGCCAGCGCTGCACTCGCCTCTGATGTCGGTCACTAATGCCATCTCTGGGCTAACGGTTGTTGGCGGCATCCTCATGATGGGAGGAGGCAAGCCCAGCTTGTCTGGAGATGATATTGGTTTCACAGTGGGGAAAATTCCGTCAGGCTACATGCCCGAGACATTGCCTCAGTGGCTGGCAGCTGCTGCTGCACTGATCTCCATGGTCAATGTAGGCGCGTGGCAAGCATCTAAGCACTTAGTCTCTTTCGCGTATGATGTGCCCGAATTGATTCTGTACCCCTCACTTCAGTTTCCACGTTGTTTCGCAGCCTGCAGTATCTCGCAGGTACAGTCTTCAGACATCTTCAGACCGTTGCAAAACACAGCCCACCCTGTCTGCAGGAGGGGGCTTCGTCATGACCAGGCGCATGATCGACATGTTCAAGCGAGAGACAGACGTGGCTTGGTCTGCGTCGGCAAATGATTTGAGCTGATGTGATCGTGATGGAACATGTCTTTGAAATGGCTCAGGTGTCCCAGTTTGCGGAGATGTACGCTCTTCCAGCTGCGCTTTTCGTGGGCCTCTATGCGGTTGGCACCTCCCTTGGATACATGGACTTGGCTTCTGATGCTTGGTACTTCCTGAGATTAGTGATAAGATTAGATGACACTGGGATACAGGGCGGTGCCACTTAATACCTTTGTGCGTTGACACTGGAGCGAAGCCATTCTGAACAAGTCCCGGCATGCCTGACTACTGTTCTGTTGAGAACGCAACAGAAACATTGGGAAAACTAATTGACAAACAAGCGAAACCGCAAAACACCACATCACAACCAGCGGGCGCTTGGTGCATGTCTGAAAGTGCGTGCACATGGTGATTACAGTAGTCGCAAAACTGGCAGACTTTTCAAGGCTCCGGGACAGTAGTTTCCTAAGAAAGCCTGCGGTGGCACTCGAAATCCTAAGTTGACGTCTGTGCCAGGAATGTGCTAAGAAGCGCGTGGGGATGGGGAAAGCGATGTGCAGCTATGCTTGTGATGCGACTTCACACGCCCTGGTGTAACTTCGCGCGTTCCCGCGTGACCATGCGGTGTCGCGACTTCATGCGCCCTGCAGCGACATAACGCTACCCCTTGCAGCAGCTGAGCTTTCATCAGCTTTTCTGGATTCTAGCGACGGTACTTCTGTGAGATTTCACCCTGGCATGCTGTATCGACTCTTCAGAAGAACTGGTTTTTGACTTCTTGGTCCTGTGCACGAAGCCTACCAAAGCTCTTGTAAAAGCCTGGTTGTGGATTTGTGGGCTTGTGCGGTCTGGCAAGAGTCCTTTCCTCTAGTTCTTTGAGCCAGACATGTGCTTCAAACTTTGCGGTGTGAGGAGAGCCAAATGGTCTACCTC